ATTCTGATAACTATATTTTAACATTAAAAATGCTTGGTATAACATTTAATCAAATACATAATTCATTAAACTAGATAGAAGGAAATGTACATTTATTGAAAATAAAGCAACTAAAAGGTAAAAAAAGTTAAAAAAAAGAATAAACATCCGTTATTTAAAGTAAATTAGTATAGAATTTTATTCCATAGAACTAAATACTGTGAAATTGTTGTCCACAACCCTCATCTATTGCACCAACAATAAAGACTTATGTGATGATAATTACAACATATTTTATACTGCTAACTTCAAGAATAATTAGTTTGAAAGATTGATGTATTTATGATCTCTCCCCTGTAGTCCCATCTTCTTTCATCATCACCTTGTATTTTACGTTCTCGAATATTTCCAAATATTTACATGTTAAAGTCGAAGCTTTTCTTTTCAGCACATTGCTGTAACAGTATCACATGGATGTCCTTAGCAGACAACATTTTGAACAGAATTAGATGTGTGCTGACAGTAGGAGAGGAGAAGAAAGTCTAAGGAAACAATCTGTGTGGATAAATGGGTAGGGAGTTCTTCATGTTTCGCTTCCTTATGGAAATTAGAGTTCTTCTTGACTTTTAGAAGAACTGTGTCCAGAAATATAACTAGCTGTGTTTTCTCAAGGATTATAAGGAAATCTCTAAGGACTTTGCTCTGATTATGTTTACTCATAGCCTGTATTTACAGATTTTTCAGCACAAAAGAAAAAACTTCAGTGGGCAAAGGAGCATGGGCTATATAGCTTGTTAAGATTGAAGAAAAATAATATTTACAGATGAGAGGCAGTTTCTTCTATTACTCAAAACCTGGGATGGTTAAGAATAGAGTTTTTCAAGTACCTTTAAAAACTCAAATGATAATATCATGGCACCTTCTTATAATTGAGGACCTCTGATTGTGGTGAAGACAGGGACGACTGAGAATTGAAACTATTGGGATTGGGAGGTGTGGCGAATGACCGACCCAGGGCACCTTTTGGAAATGAAGCAGTGCTCTTTGTGCAGCATAATGTCCACGTTAAAATTTTGCAACATTATTTGAATGTAGGTAATTTAAAATATGACAAGGATTGAATGGCCTTGATATTCAGCAGACCTTAAATCTATCTCAGTAAATTTATGGGTGAAAATGGAGATTTTGACCAAAGAAACAGTCATTAAAGGGTCAGGTTAAGTATTAGTTTCTTTTATATATTATGGGATAGTTTCATTCAGTGACTAGAGCTATAAATTTGGGTGAAATATGTGTAAAAATGTTTCATTCATGAGTAGGAATTTTGTTAAGTGTTATAAAATATCAAATGGATAGACCCTTTCACCTCTTTGTCAAATATTTTTCTGGAACTTTTTTTTATGGGAATCATTTGCCTTGGTGGATTTCATCCTCTTCAGCCTTTGTCCTAACCATCTTTCTCAGTGCTTCTGAGAAGGTTTTGTCTGTGAGGGAGTCAGGGTGTATGTCATTCGTATCAGCCTGGGCAGGTCTATAATCCCAGAGTTTCCTGAGCCATATGTGTTTCTTAGTGAAAGGATCAATGTTCCTGCTGGTCTGGCTCTGTGAACATTTGTGGTGCATGTTTATGATTCATTTCTTTCTTTATTGGAATAAGACTGTTTCAGGTAGAAGTTTACAGGTTACAGTTTTTACAATGGGTCAGCATTCTCATTATCTCCATTCTGTTTGTTAAATTCCCATTAATCTAACTTGTATTTTGTGTAACTGATGAATGTTTGATCTCATAGTTAATATTTAAGGGAACTCATTATTCATGGGTAAAATTGTTTATTTTATAAGCCAATCAGTTATTTTTCTGAAAGGTGATATAGCTCTGCACTTTAAAACCAAAAATGATAGTAGCATTTTTCCCAATTTAGCAATTTTTCCCAGGTTAGCAAGAAATGCTTCTTGGACAAAAGCATCCGTTAACTGATGAACTGTAAGAGACCATTCTGTAGATGGGACAATGGGTGGAGCAGAATATCTATTTTCATTTTGACAAACAACTCCACAGACCAGACATTAAAACAGAACGGCTTAACGTTTTGTTTTCAGAGTAATTTTTACCCCCTTTCATTTTCTGCTTTGCCTTGCTTTAAACTGTGAGTGATTGTGACACTAAAATCTCCCCTTCCTGTTGCCTTTGATTGTGTCATTTTAGTCTTGTTTCTGGTCTGGGATGGAAAGCGTTCCAGTGACGTTCTCTCTTTATATTGATAATGAGGTCCGGTATTTTCTATTTAGCCCTTGCTTGTCTAGTCTTGACTCTTTGACCTCAGGTTTTAATGTCTATCTGGTTCCCACCGGAATGAGACTATCCGATCAGCCTATTTTGTTTTTACTGTAAGGTAGAGAGTTGTTCTTTTTAACCCTCTAATCTTTGTTTCTACAGGCCTGTCATCCTTGCTTCAGAGTGTTACTGGGAATCCAGTTCCAGCCAGTGAAGCTGCTGCCGCCCAGAGCACCGCAGCCTCTCCTGCCAACACAAAGGGAAGGAGTCTGCCCTCCAGTGCCCAGTCCTTTATTCCCAAAAGCTTCAACTATTCTCCTAATTCATCAACTTCTGAAGTCTCTTCAACTTCAGCCAGCAAGCCTTCAATTGGGCAAAGCCCAGGACTCCCAAGCACTACTTTCAAGCTACCATCCAACTCTCTGGGGTTTACAGGTACCCACAACAATGCTAGTGCTGCTGCCCCACCTACTGAAGTTGCCATGTGCCAATCTTCAGAGATCTCCAAGCCAAAGCTGGAATCAGAGTCCACCTCCCCAAGCCTGGAAATGAAGATCCACAACTTCTTAAAAGGTAATCCTGGTTTCAGTGGCTTAAACTTAAACATACCAATCCTGAGCAGTTTGGGGTCCAGTGCCCAAACAGAGAACCATCCCTCAGACTTCCAGCGTGGCCCCACTAGCACCTCAATGGACAATATTGATGGAACCCCTGTGCGGGATGAACGCAGTGGGACACCAACCCAGGATGAGATGATGGACAAGCCCACATCCAGCAGTGTAGATACTGTGTCCTTGCTTTCTAAGATCATTAGCCCTGGTTCCTCAACACCCAGCAGTACAAGATCACCACCCCCTGGGAGAGATGAAAACTACCCCCGGGAGCTCGCCAATTCGGTACCCACATATCGACCCTTTGGCCTGGGCAGTGAATCTCCCTATAAGCAGCCTGCTGATGGAATAGAGAGACCATCTTCCCTGATGGACTCCTCACAGGAAAAGTTCTATCCAGATACTTCTTTCCAAGAAGACGAAGATTACCGAGATTTTGAGTATTCAGGGCCTCCAGCGTCCGCCATGATGAACCTAGAGAAGCAGCCAGCCAAGTCTATCCTGAAATCAAGCAAGCTGTCTGATAATGCCGAGTACCAGCCTGTTCTTTCTAATTATAGCCACAGGGCCCAAGAATTTGGGGTAAAGTCTGCCTTCCCTCCAGCTGTAAGGGCCCTCTTGGACTCTAGTGAGAACTGTGACCGGCTCTCCTCTTCCCCTGGGCTCTTCGGCGCCTTCAGCATAAGAGGGAATGAAACTGGGTCTGACCGGTCACCATCACCGAGTAAGAACGATTCATTTTTCACCCCCGACTCCAACCACAATAGCTTGTCTCAGCCTACCACTGGGCACCTCAGTTTGCCACAGAAGCAGTACCCAGACTCTCCTCACCCAGTCCCACATCATTCCCTTTTCTCTCCGCAGAATACCCTTGCCGCTCCCACGGGCCACCCACCCACATCAGGCGTGGAGAAAGTCCTGGCCTCCACCATTTCCACCACGTCGACGATTGAGTTTAAGAATATGCTTAAAAACGCCTCCCGCAAGCCCTCAGATGATAAGCATTTTGGCCAGGCCCCCAGCAAGGGCAGTGCAAGTGATGGTGTCGGTCTGGCAAACCTCACCCCGCCCAGCTTGAGCACCGCTGAGCGACAGCAACAAGAAGAGCACTACCGCATAGAGACCCGCGTCTCCTCCTCCTGCTTAGACTTGCCGGACAGTACAGAAGAAAAGGGGGCCCCAATAGAAACTTTGGGTCATCATAATGCTTCCAACAGGAGGATGCCAGGGGAGCCAATTCAGACCGTAGAGTCCATCCGAGTGCCTGGGAAGGGAAATAGAGGACACGGGCGCGAGGCTTCAAGGGTGGGTTGGTTTGAACTGAGCACATCGGGCAGCTCTTTTGACAATGGCCCCTCAACTGCCTCTGAGCTGGCATCTCTTGGGGGTGGGGGCAGTGGAGGCCTCGCTGGTTTTAAAGCAGCACCGTACAAGGAACGGGCACCCCAATTTCAGGAGAGTGTCAGCAGCTTTCGTTCCAGCAGTTTCAACTCAACATTTGAGCATCATCTCCCCCCTGTCCCCTTGGAGCATGGGACACCCTTCCAGAGAGACCCTCTGGGGCCAACAGCTGCCCCACCTGTCCCTCCTAAGGATCATGGTGGTATCTTCTCCCGAGATGCAGCCACTCACCTGCCCTCACTGGATCTTTCGAATCCCTTCACAAAGGAGGCACCTCTGGCCCATGCTGCCCCACCCCCTCCTCCTGGGGAACACAGCGGTGTCCCCTTCCCTACCCCACCCCCACCCCCTGGGGAACACAGCAGCAGTGGGGGGAGTGTTGTCCCCTTTTCTACTCCACCCCCGCCACCACCCCCTGTTGACCACTCTGGGGTTGTACCCTTCCCAACCCCACCACTGGCAGAGCACGGAGTGGCAGGGACTGTGGCAGTATTTCCTAAGGACCATAGCTCCCTCCTTCAAGGGGCCCTGGCTGAGCATTTTGGTGTGCTCCCAGGACCCAGGGACCACGGGGGCCCCACCCAACGGGACCTCAATGGCCCTGGCCTTAGCCGTGTGCGTGAGAGCCTGAGCCTGCCGTCCCATTCTCTGGAGCACTTGGGCCTGGCCCATGGAGGAGGAGGAGGTGGGGGAGGCAGCAACAGCAGCAGTGGCCCCCCCTTGGGTCCCTCACACAGAGACGCCATCAGCCGGAGTGGTATGCTTTTGCGGAGTCCCCGGCCAGACTTTCGACCCAGGGAACCTTTTCTCAGCAGAGACCCGTTCCACAGTTTAAAGAGACCCAGGCCACCTTTCGCTAGGGGACCTCCGTTCTTTGCACCAAAACGCCCATTTTTCCCTCCCAGGTACTGATGGAAACCAAGGGAAAGGCATTTTGAACAGTCTAGAGAGCATTGGAAGTAGGAGTTTGGTTTATTGTCGCTGTTTTGTTTTCCCTCTCTTTGCTTTATTTGTTTCTTATGACAAAGGGCCTCCAAATTAAAAAGTCTCATATGCTTACATTTCACGATTCCATTCATCCAGTTCTCTTACCTTCTGCACTTACCTGCCTTCCCCAAGTTGTCCATATGGAAGGAGAGGGGTGGGGAAGCAAGAAACACAACTGAAGCCAGTTTGGTTGGGACTGGCTGGGGGAGAGGGGAGCAGAGGGTAGAAAAAGGAAAGCAAACCTTACTTTACCCCATGTATTGGAGATTATGTTTGAAATAAAACTTCCATCAGTACAGGTAGCGACCTGTACGATGTTGGGGTGTTATTTGGGGCTTGGCTTATCAGGTAGTCAATGGCAGGATTTCTGTCTCCTTCTCTCCCCAGGCAAGGTGCTGCGGTAAGCAGCTGGCTCCCTTCCCTCTGCTCTGTGCCCTGCCGACAGTCAGGAGATGTTGCAAGGAAGGAAATGTGGGAGCCTTTGGACTTGTCAGCTTTATGTGTGTTCTGTTTTGTTTCTAAAGACATGTTAAAGTTGAGTTCTCTCCTCTGATCCTAAAAGCTGATTCTTTTTAAAACCAAACTCTACATATTACTGTCCGGCAGATAACTGAGGTGCAAACCTCCTTTTATCCTACAAGCTTTTGTTGTTCGTTCTTGGAATGAAACAGGAAGCTGGATATCATTTCCGAGGTTGGAAAGAGTGACTACAGCAATCTGGAGAGACTTGGGCAGAGGAAGCGCTCCTGGTGCGATGGGCCTGCCTCTCCTTTGTACACATCCATGCCAGGCATTCTTGACCGTTTTCTCCCTCGGCTTGGACTTGTACATTGGCCAGCCGTAGTTACTACAGTTGACAGTTGATACAAAGGCACCTGAAATGCTATCCCTGACATTTTTGGCCAAGAAATTGCAAAATCTTCGTTTTTAAACATAGCAGCATACTATTTTTCCCATGGTGCCTTCCCACTTTAAGTTGATGGTTTTCAGCAAAAGTTAGAGAAAGGAAAAGTATTTTCTCTTTTCCTCTTGCCCCAGCTCTGTGCACACCTACTCTTAATAATTAAAAGAGGTTCCATAGCGTCTTTCGCTATAGGTCTCTTTGGAGACAACGGGGCTGTACGCTCACATTGCCCCACTCTACAGATAGCAGCCCATCACATTTCAAGGTTCAAGTTTATTCCCACCTCCCAGCCCCAACAGCAATAAAGAATGTTTCTGGCCACTTCACATCAGAGAGAAGCACTGACTTGCTCCCTGCTTGTACTCTATACCTAGTACTCTGGAAATAGACAGTCGCTGCAGTTTGAATGTCATCACCTGGTGGCTGTCTAGGGACATTGAAAAGCAATTATTGTTTGACTGCTGTTTTTCATTATTAGTGTCTTACCCCAAGGTACACATGTAAAATCTCCAGCTAAGTGAACAGTACATGTTAAGCTTGTCAGGGAGTGTTAGCAAGTTTCATATATTTCCAGCAAAGGTTGTCGGACTAACTACAGGAAGTATGGGGGTGGCTTTGGGTTTCTCCAGAGGAAGAGTAAAGATGGGAAGGGAGTAACAGAGATGATTCGTTGTCTCTGAATCAACTTACTTTTCCGAGAAAGAGTAGCATCACAGTTATGGAGTTTTTGTTTATCCCGTGTTATTTATTTGAGCTCGTCCGTCATGTGTTCATGGGTTTTGATGCTTAAAGTCACTAAGCTTCCTAATGCATATCTGGTCAGCAGAGTGTTAAGGAAACTGTTCTTCCTTTGACCCTCCCAAGCCTCTCTGCCTTGTAGCTTTCCCTGCCAAAAGCGCATGTTCCCATTACCTTGTGTGTGGGTTATTGGGTATGTAGTTTAGCCAAGCAACAGTGTGGTCATGTTGAGTCCTAAGACGTTTGTTTAGGGAAACTTGTGAGAGAAAGAATAAGAGTGTGTGTGTGTGTTTATGTGCATGTGTGTGTGCGTGCGTGAGTGCGTGCGTGTGTGTGCAGTGATTAAGTGGAATGTTTTTCATTCGAAAATAAAAGAATGTGAATTCTCTGCTGCTCTTGTGTAAGCTAGAAGTAGTGTTTACTTGAAGAAGCTCTCTGACCATTTGATTTTATCAGAAAACGTGGGGGTGTCAAAAGGTGGCCTCCTGAGTGTCAGGACAGGGCAGTGTCCTCAAAAGCACGATGGCTAATCTATGAAAGACTCTTGTACAGTTTCAAAAATGGACCTTTAAGGGTTTGTGTGTGCGTGATCTTTCTCTCACATTAAGCCACAAATTCCTCAGTGCAGTTTTTTCTGGATGGAAGTGAGGATTTGTATGTGATTGTCAGCTGTTAACTTTAAGGAAATCTGTCGGCAGCAGTAAATGAACACAACAATGTATATATGTGATATAGTAAAACAAAAAAACAACTCTGGTATTCATAACATGAAACAAAGGGGTTTTATTCTTTCTGTGTCTGTGATTTAAAACTCTGTGACCATGCTCTGATTTTGTATTTCAACCCGAGTTTAAATAAATAAACAAGATTATTTTTTAAAGAAAGTATAATTTAGTGTGTCTTGACAAGGACATAATTCATGTGAAAGCTTACATGAGACGCTCTTACTTGATGCTCACTGTAAAATCACAGACAGAGAAGCGAAGGTGGGGAGAATACCGGCACACATGAAGGTCAGGGATGACACACTATCAGAAAACGAGTCCGTACATATTTTATAGTTCACGCTTCCTACAGCCTTAGACGAGAGCTTTCTCCCCTCTTCCCTCCCAAAGCTAAGAGTAAATTGAATTTGTTTTAATTCCAAGGAAGGTAAAATGAACAGTAAGACTTTCGATCTTTCCAATCCCAGGAATGCAGCATTTGTGTTCTCTGTGGTTTAGCAAACCTACCCAGATACTGTGAATACGCTAAACTTGCTAATTGCAGAATGTTCACCATCAAGTCATGAAGTTACCGGTTCACGTAGAATTAAGCCTCAGCTGTTAATGTTTTGGAGCCACTGTAAATTACTGCTTTCAACATCCCCCCCCCACCTCCCACCCTCTGTTTTTTTTTGTTTTGTTTTTGTTTTTTTGAATAGGCAGGCGTGTCTGTTAAGATTAAAGTTAGACATGTTGGATTGATATTCTCACGTGTTCGGTGTGGAAAACAAAACAAGTATATGCTTTAGGGGCAACAACAATGAAATCCTTTTGAAATGTGTATTAATATCATTTAATAAAATAACTAGTTCTAAAGGTTTGACATTTTTCTTTGAGATCTGGGCTTTGACCAAGGGCCTCTGGCTTCACTGGTGAGTGTGAAGAGGAAGGGATTTCTCCAGGAGCTGACACTGCCACTTGGTGGACCCGGCCCGGACGGACGTGGAAATGTACCCTTTTCCCTCTGTGACTGCCCAGGGCTGATGGACGGTGAAACCAGCTGCAGAAGCAGGAAGAAGAGCCTGGAGATCCTTGCAGATGTGATGGATGGGCTTTGGGCCCAAGTGCATGGGAGTCAGTGGGGGGGGGGGTGCCCTCTAAGACGGAAGCACACACTGACCATCCCTGCCCTTCCTTGTGGCCATTGCACTTCCTCTTGCAGCCATTCCACTTTTTTTCTTTTCTTTTAAATCTTTGTCCCCGGTATGTTTTTGTGCCCAAGTTGAATAAAGTACAGTCTCCTTTGTTGTGTGGTTGACTTTTCCCCTCTTACATGGACCTTGTCCAGCTGCCCCCTTTGATTTCTGCGCTGTCACAAGGCAGCCTGAGCCTGTACAATGTGTTCCATCCTTTGTGCAGTTGGATTTTTCAGAGAGAGGATTGATGGGTGGGGTGAGATCAAGAGGTTCTGGGTGCGGCTGGTGGTAAAGTGGGGTGTGCTGTGTAGATTATTTGTCCTGTCTTCAAAAAGTTGTGAGCAGAGAAGTGATTTTAAAGCAAGCATAGGTCTCGGGGGAGTGGGTATGGGATCCCTTTGGCCAGTACTTACCCCACATCCCCACTTCTTAACCACATTTTAGTAATGTGGAGTGCAGGGTTGTGCCTCCTACTCTCACCCCATTTTCCATAGCCTGCTGAGTTTTAGTAAGTGGAATGTTGACTTTAAGGAGTCAAGAGGGATAGTCATTCTCTGGGCCAGGTGTGGGTCACTGACAGGGTAGAACCCTCTTAATAGCAGCTGTCATGACGTGAAGCTACGTGCACGGTCACCAAGCAGTACCAGAATAGCAGTGGCCTGAGAACACGCCCGCAGGTGGGTGTACCACTACTGGCTACTTCTAGAATCTGGTTCTTTTCTGTGTGTCCTCTTGGGACCCGGACTTGTCCACCCCAATCCTGTCATCACTCTCAAGGAAACCTTTTTGAGCCTGTTGGAAATGCCTAACTAGCCCCTAAATTGCTTTATTTAAACTTCACTTGCACAGAAGGAGGGCTTGCTCTCCTGAGTGTAGAGACGGTAACCTGCCCTCAGAATAGGCTTAGCGCACTTAGGAGTATTGGCACAGTTTTCATACTTTTTCTAAGTAACTGGGCAGGTCTGGACAGTTGTTAACAATTGCTGAGTAATACCTCGTGACGGTGTAGGACAAGTCTAGAGGGCCACCCGTGAGTGAAATATCTACTTGACGTAAACATCCTCCCCCCCCCCATTTAGAAATAAAGAAAAGTAACTATTCTTGAAAAATGCAAATAATATAAAACAACGTTCTAACAACAGGTGAAAGGAGAACCCATTTATTATTAGCTATAAATGTCAGGGAAGGTGCTTAAGTCATTTAGAAGTCAATAAAATGGTCTCCTTACATTTCTGGTTTTTTTATCCTTTGTTGCCTCCACTGTAGCAAAAGAGAACAGGTGCGGGTAGGGAACTCGGGAGCTCTTAGCAGTGCCAACCTCGAGAAGACGAGCAGCTGCCTTCTGTTTGACGCAAAGGGTGGTGACTGAAGTAGCCGAACCTCGGGTTCAAAGCAAATGGGATGTTCCAGTAACTTGACTTCCTTGCACCCCTCTAATAAGTCTTCTGCCCCATCGTGTGAAAAAGAAGAGATTGGGTGTATTTCTGTTGGCCCCTTTTCTTTGGGATGAGTAGAAGACGGGGTCCCATTCCTTCTGTTTTCCCCCCTCTGCCTAGATGTCCTTTGTGCCTTAATACAATGACCAAGGTCTTAAGTTTGGTAGCCAGTCACTGGGCAGTAGAGATTAATAAAGGATTTATTTGAAATCTTGGTTATGGAGGGATATACTCTAGAGATGTGTCTAGGCCCTTTTAGAATCCTTGGCTCTGTGTTTTCACTCTTACTAGTCGGACCTGAGTTGACACCCCTGCACTGGCTCCCTTGGCCTACCAAATCAGGGTGGTCTCAAAGATGGAGAGTGTGGATCCTTGTACCTTTCTGCGTGTCAGTTAAGAGACGGCTTAGGGTTGGGAAATCTTAAGTTCTCCTATTGAGCCCTGTTCAATGAAAGGTCAGGTTAAAAACCCGCATGTTGCTGTGCAACTGTTGTAAGCCTGACCTGCATACCACTTCAACCGGCATTTAGCCACTTTAGGCTTCAAAAGTGCTCCGCTTAGTGCTAATGACGTAACCTTTACGTCATTTTACTATTCACTCTCCTGCCTCGGATACATTGAACTCTCATTGCCATCGAGTATAGTAATCCCATAGGGCAGGGTAGAAATGCCCCTGTGGGTTTCTGAGACTGCTGTAGTAAAAAGTGTCATCTCCCGAGGATTCTCTAGTGGTTTTGAACTGCTAACCCCGAGGTTAACTGCTCGACATGTAACCCACCAGGGCTCCTCTATGGTGCATGGTAGATTTGCTTCGAAGAGCCTACATAGATTTGGAAGTTGATGCTTAGCCTGATTATAAGTGGGAATGTGTTTTAAATGGCAAGCATTTTTTACATAGGGTTTTAAACCTATAAAGACGATATCTCCTTGCCAGACGTTAGTCAATTTGTGGTCTCTTAAAAGTGGATCGAGGCTGAAGATTTCCCTAAGTAATTAGGATCTAGGACACCATTATTTAAGATTCCCCTTTTCCCTGGACTTTCATGAACTCAACTCTATTTCATGTAGAGTTCTTGTTTCTTAGCCTTAGTCTGGTAGGAAAAACTTGTCGTGATTTCATTTTTATTGGATCTATCTCCACCCGATATTAAAGGCTGTGGCCTTGTGAACTCTGGAGAGGAAAAGAGAGCCATCACACATGTATTAGACTGCTCATCTGGCTCCTAGAGCTGGCATGGCATAAACAGGAGCTTGTGATTCAGATAGGTGGGCTTGACCTCTGGAGGCTCAGTTTCCATGTTTTAAAGGGAGCATGCGAATAGCTACTAAAGAATTCAGGGAGAGTGAAGGTATAGCGTTGGGTGCGTGGTAGGTGTTCAGTGGTATTCTGCATTCAGGGAGGGAGGTGAAAGAGTTTCATCGATGGACATTTCCCAGGCAACCTAACGGGTTAAAATTCCCGGGGGCTGAGACGTAATGCTAATCACAAGGCAAGTTGCTTGAGAACCAGCAATTAATAAATTGGTCTTAGCTCGTTTGTGCCTTACTACAGGAGGGAGGATGAAGTAACTTGGCATTCCTCCCTCCCTCGGCTGCAACAGTGGTGATGTAGCAGTTATTGATGGGCATCTCACAGCACCCAGCTCAGTGCGTACTGCATGCAGTCAGCAGGCAGTAAATGTTTCAGTGGTGAATAGAGCTTCCAGCTCAGGATAACCTAGTTGTTATTCCACCATCCTAACAGAGGACAAGACAGGTGACGAAAGTGTGTGTCACTGTCTGTCTCCTTTGGCATTTCAGGTCCACACAATAGTTACATTCTTAATATTTACAGGGTACTTACCATTTTGCTGTCTAATGTGTAACACTCCCCTATAGAGCCCTGATTGTCATTTAGAAATTCTCTCCCCACACAAGGGATCTTTCTTCCCACAATCAGCCTTGTCTCTCTTTGTATTTCAGAATGTCTAACATACCAGAAGACGGAGCCAAGACCCAGAGTGGTACCTGTGATTCAAATCAACAGCTGCTCGCCCCAGACAGAACCTCTGGCTTCTGTGGACCTCTAGATTTAAACAGCTTTCTCTGACTGCTCTGTCTCCACAACCTTTGCTCCCACCACCATTGAAACTTGAGATTCACCTCTAATCATCCTCCCCCAGGTGATGAGATTAGTGGGAATTACTGAGAACCTCAAAGCTACCCTCCAGGTTCATTCCTCTTGTACTTAACTACAATCCTGACCAGGTTTCAGTTCTTAGCGTGTAAAACTAACCAAGCATACTTAGGTCTGTGTTCTACATATAGCAGGGAGTGGGAAGAGAAAGGATAAAGGAAGTTAAGATGGGCATGAGAGACTATTCCAGTAGAGAAGACAGCTAAAGTTTGGGGTCTGTTTCCTATTTTTGAGGTAATGAAGGAGCACATGGAGAGTAACGTCTATTAAAGAGAAAGCACTATTTTTTATTCTTATATTCAGAGGATAAGCCTTGGATTCAGAAGCCACTGACTGTTAGATCTTACTGCACTGGCTGTTAGCCCTTCAATTCCTATCTGTAAAATTAAAGATCTAAGACCCCTCTTAAGGAGCCCTGGTGGTTCAGTGGGTTATGAATTGGGCTGCCAACCACAAGGTCTGCAGTTCAAACCCACCAGCTACTCATCAGGAGAAAGATGAGATAGCTCCCGTAAAGATGGAGTCTCAGAAACCCTACACAGTTATACTCCGACCTGTAGAGTCGCTATAGGATGTAACCGGCTCCAGGACAGGGGTTGGTTAGGTCTGAAGGTCCCTCGTATCTGTGCATTATTGTGACCGGAGGGGTTGCTACAGATTGCTCTCTCCTCGACTGTTAACATTCATTTATTAGAATGTTTATGTAAAATGCACTTCAACAATTGGTTTATTCCCATTTTATAGATGAGAAATTGGGGCAGGCTCTAGCTAAAATTACATACTAATGGCCAGTCCGTTAGGGCTCTGGCTCCAAAGCCCATGTTTGTAACTGTTTTTTACCTGTCAATAAAGGTCTTGGAAAAGAAAATGTCTGGTTAAAATGACAATAGCTCTCCTTGTTCGTTTCTGACTCTCCCTCAAGGGTTCTATTTCTACCCCAAAGGCGGCAGGATACTTTACTGCTTGCTATTCAGGGCTTTCGGATGGAACTGGGCAGGCTTCACGATCGCTGTGTGTAGCAGCTTCGGTCTTCCGGGCGGCCGGTGGCCGGAACCGAGGACGCCGCTGCTCGTGCTGTGTACGGGTGTTTTTACGGAGACCCTGGGGGTGTGGCCAAGTGGGAGCGGCAGCTGCCGCGGCCAATAGGCAGGGGTATTGCTGGGTCCCAAGCCAATGGACGTCGGGTGAAGGAAGAACGGAGGTGAGCTTGTTTGAGCCCGAAGGCACGGGTCTGAAAAAACATGGGCCTCTGTCCGGCGTGGGCTCGGTTCTGGTTCCCAGGGTTGCAAGCCTGGGGGTTGCGCTCGGTGCACGAGGTAAAGTTTCCGAACTGCATCGGACTCGGCTCATTCGAAACCTGAGGGGTAGACTCTTGACCCAACCTGCCTTAGCGAGCGTGCATTAAAAATCCCGGGACGGGATCACCTCAGCCATGGACGCGCCACTCGCCTGCAAGGGCGACAGTTTGGGGAGTGCAGTCCCCCTTGTAGCCCCCCGGGGTAGGCCCCTGTCTCCCTTTCGTTAAATACTAGCGATTCGGAGCAAGACCGCTTACATATCTTATCTACCACCATTCCCGAGCCCAGAAAGGAGCGGTGTGAGCGTGCTGTCTCCTAACCGGTCTTTCCCTTCAGGCAGCTGTGCAGACCCCTCCACTCTGGTTGGCAGAGCGACTTGGTCTCTTTGAGGAGCTCTGGGCTGCTCAGGTCAAGAGGTCAGCAAGCGCTGCCCAGAGGGAAGGCCGGGCGATTCAGATAACGCTTCCCGAAGGCCAGAGAGTGGGCGCTGTGGCGTGGAGCACGACCCCCTACCAACTAGCCCAGCAGATCAGGTACCAGGACGACCCCTGCCGCTCTCCTCGCTGTGGGCTGAGCGGGGCAAGAAAGCAAGTCTGCTTGTTCTTTAGCCCATCGCCATCCAGTCTTTCTCCAGGATTCGCGTCAGAGCCTTGTCCCTTTCTCTGGAAAAATAAGCGATACATTCTATTGCCCCAGAATTGCGAACAGGGAATCCGCCCTCTCCGGGGTGGGCATTAACTTTGTCTTTCTCCTCACCCCGCCACCCCATCCCTCAAGTTCAACACTGGCAGATACTGCAGTGGCTGCCGAAGTGAACGGAGAACCTTATGATCTGGATCGACCCTTGGAGACAGATTCTGACGTCAGATTTCTGACATTTGATTCCCCAGAGGGGAAAGCAGTAAGTTTCTTCTTGATCAGGGGCTGCTAAAGTATGAGGCATCCTTTGTTTTCATTGTTTCTGTGTCCCAGTTACAGACCTACTACTGATTGAGCCTGTACTTTTTTTTGGTTTTTTGTTTTGGCTTTCAGAGCCTGTACTTTTTTTTTTTTTT